CGTGGTCATGGCCACGATGAGGTTCGCCGACGGCGTGGCATCGAGGCAAGGCAGGGTTTTGTTAAGCGATGGCAGTGGCTAGTGTGGGTGTGAGGCTGTGAGCACGTTGTGCCCAAGCTGTGATTTCGAGAGCTTGGCTCGAGGGCCAGACAGAGGGAACGGAAGGCGAGCAAGGTTGTGCCTTTGGATGGAGCTATTGTGTGCATGGGTTCTTCGGGCAGCGGTGCTCGGCCGGGGGCTCGGAAGAGTTCGGCACGGCGTGTGTCCGCGAGGTGTGCGCGTGCTGTGCGAGTGCGGTTGCCTCAACCCTCGGCGCCTGCGACCGGTATGGACGAGGGAGCAGAGAGGAGGTTGGAAGGCCATGGCTTGGTGCCAGTCTTGTGTCGCTGTGCACTACACGCGCGTGTGATGGCGCTTGGCTATGGGTGGCTACCGGTGTGGCATCGTGCCCCCCCCGTAGGATTGGTGCTGGCATGGTGCAGTGCATGCGACATTCGCGACCGTGGCTGGTGCGGGGTTGTGCGGCTACGACGCGTGAGACGGCGGCAGCAGCACAACCATCCAACGGTGCCCGGGCCGTGGCTTCATGGCCGCGCCTTGAAGGCTAGGTAGGCAGAAATGGCAACCAAGGGCTAAAAGGTGAGGCTTTGGCTCATGGACTGCTAGGGTGACGCGCATGCAACCAAAGGATGCCGTCATGGCGTGTGCTACGTCCAGGTTGGGCCTGTGTTCGAGCGGTGGCCATGAAAGGCACCGCCTTGGTCTTCTTGGGGCTGATGTGTGTGCGTGTGGCATTCCGGCCGTGTGGCGGTCGTGTGTGACCACCAGCGGCAGAGACGCCATGCTATGCGAGCGTGGCAAACAGAGCCGGCGTCGAGGGCCAGAATAGGCAGGCTATCGAGGCAACGAGTAAAGGCGAGGGCTTTTGGGGCGGACAGCTCACCGGAGGGCTCGTCGGCGACAGATCGCGCGGTGTCGGTCGGGCCCGACGCAGGCAGTCGTGCACGCCGGTGTGGTGAAGGTGTCTGCGTGGGTTCGCGCGTCCCTTATCCACGTGGGTCTCGGCATCGCGGAGTGGAGCGGCTTGGTGAAGAGGAGAGATAGGTGAGGCTGTGACGGGGTCGCTGCTGTGGCTGTGACTTCCCCGAGCGCGTTGGGCCGTTGTCGCAGTGCAGTTGCGGCAGGGGGTGAAGCAGAGGATGTCTGGCCTCCATGGGAACACAAATCACGGCACGAGGGCCGATCTCAGTCAAGGACGACGACAGGGAAAAGGGAAAAAATGGGAGCTTTGGCAACGACACTGCTCACCGGTGAGCACAGAGCGGCATCGAGGAGATGTCGCGGTTGACGCCGAGCCAGAGCGGGGTCACGACGTGCGGGCTCCGAAGACCGTGGCTCGGCGATGGGGTACGATGGCGCAGCGTCAGTGGCGAGGTGGCTCGCCGCGCGTGCTTGCTCGGCATCATGCCATGGTTGCGTTGGCTTCTTGGGCTCCCGCCGTGGCGTCATTGGTGGGTGCGAAGGAAGGGAGAACGAGGTAGAGGAGGTAGGGCTCTGTGGTGGCCGGGAGAGGGAGTTCAGGAGAGGTGCCGACTGTCGAGGTACTTATAGCGCGCCAGCTAGGGCTACCGGGGGGTCACGGACGGCAGTGATCCTCGGGGTCCGTGCTTCCTGCCCACGCGGCACGCATCGAGCGGGGGGTGCGGAGCTGGTGAAGCGCGGGCGTGTGCTTTGCCACCCGAGCGGTGGTGGCGTGGGAGCGGGTCACGGCGCGCTTGGCCTAGGGTTCCAGATGGGGCATGCGGTGCGCGTGCAGGGCGCATGCGCGCGTGTCCGAGCGAGCGACGGTGGCTGGGAGTACCTGGAGGCCAGGGCGCTGCCCTAGGGTTGGCAAGGGGGCGCCGGTTTTGGCTGCTGGCCAGGCTAGGCCATGGCTTGCTGGGCCAGCTGGCTGTCTGCGCCGGTTGGGCCAAGGCGCTGGCGGGGCAGGCTGGGCCGAGGCCAAGGGCGAGCGGACGGGCCGAAGGGGAGGAGCCGGTCCAGGCTAGGCTGCTGCGCCAGGCTGGGCCAAGGGAAAGGGGATGGTGGGCTTGGAGGTATAAAAGGAAAAGGATTTTTCCTTTTATTGTTTCAAGGAATTTGAATGAGTTTTTAAGAGAGGTTACGTGGAATATAAAGAGAAGTTGAAGTACAATACAATGAATTTCAAGAGGAGTTCAAAAATAATCGGAGAGGTGTGATTTTTATGATTTCGGATCAAATGAGTTCAAAAGAAATGTGACGGGGATTTATGAGATATTCCAAAAGGAAATTAAGAAGGGTTGCTACGGATCGTGCACTCCGACACGAAACCCAAATCCAGATCAAAAACTCTGGCAAGCTCCTACAAGCAACACTATATGTATGCAACAATTTATTTATAAATTGTTCTTTGTTTGACCTAGCATCTACATGCTCCACATATTGTAGGAAAAATTTTAAAAGTTCGTATTTTTGGCTTCTCAAAAACCCGGGTTGTTACAGGCAGGAATGTCGCGGAGCTCGATGTCGATCAGCCATGGCAGAACCATCTCAGATGCACCCACCAGCCTACTCCACTTCTTGCACAATAGGCTAAAGTTGGAGGCATGGAGCGGCTGTCAGACTCCAACTAGAGAATCCACTAGGTCAAGGTTGGGAAGGACTAATAGGTAGCTTGAAGCAGAGGCACGATGAAGCACCAAAGAATTCGCCATGACATCCACTCGGGCAGCAATCGCCACAGCAACCACACTCGCCTCGGTGAAGGGCTCGTCACTAATGACCGTCACAATCACCGCGTGTGCAAGTTCTTCCTCAGCCCTAGAGATGTGGTCAGTCCAGTTGATGATGCATGGAAGCTGCTCAGGCGCTGGGGAATTCATAGGAGCCACTTCTGAGGAGGCTTCATTCAAGGCTTCTGTAGCTAGGGGTGATCCAGAATGCCCCTAGTTTGCACGCTGGCAGAAGCGCGACCGACGACACCGGCGCCGCCTCGCCCTGGCATCCGAAGCACCTCCAGAATCATGCACCGCCATGTTATTGGCCATGCTCGTAGAGCTCCCTTGAGGTGCCACGGCAGTGCCAGCCACGCCACACGCCGCGCTCGCTGGGAGGGACCATTGCGGGGTGTTGGCATCGGTCGGCACCGGGATCGGAGAGATGCACTGCCACACAGAGACTCGCCTTGGTGGAGGGGTAGTGTCATGCCCCACCATAGCCACGCCACACGCCATGCTCCCGGAGAAGACCATTGTGGGAGGGTAGCGATAGCCAGTGCCTGGACTGTAGGAACCTGCCGCCAAAGAGGAACACGCTTCGTCGAAGGGGCCACACCAGTCAGACCATGGCACACGTAGGATCGATGCCCCAGGGACCTGCAGCGGAAGCACCAAGTTCTTTGGTGGCACTGGGCTACGGAGTGCGTGGTGGAGAAGCAGTTGAAACACTTGTCGACCAAGTCGGCAGGGACTGGACGTTGGGGAGGACAAGCCGCACGTCAGCGCTTGTGCCGAACCCCCCGCGACTCAACCTTCTGTCAGCCCTCCGAATCCGGATGACCATGCAGGACAGCAGGACGCTGCCAACGGGAGAGAATGATCCTAGGGGCGGGCCTGGCCCTAACGTCGGCAGCTACCGCGTGACCCCCTCCAGAAGCCAAACCGCTTGCTGAAACGTGCACCGCCAAAGCAGTAGACGACGCTAGAGCCGAAGATGAGATTATGATGTCGCAGTAGGAAGGGTAGCCGTCAGAGCCAGAGGACCTGAGGCTCTCAAGACTGTCGTCACTCTAGCGTTCTTGCTTAGATTGATCACGCGAGTGGAGGAAGAAGGGCGCCGCATGAGGAGACAAGGAGGGGAGGTAACTCGACGTCTGCGAAGGAGAGGGAATCGCGCGTGTGGCTGAGGAGGTGGCCGTCACGATGGAGGAGGTGGCCACCGGGCTCTGAGTGACCGCGGGCATGGGGTTTGGGGGAGGCATTGGGAGGGGAACGGGTGGGAGACGAAGCCATGTGCTAGAAAATTGAGCAGTGCTTGAGTCATTGGGAACTATCGAAACAAGTCAACATTCAGAATTTGCTAGGGTGCTACGACACCATCTTTTGGTCTGTTGGACCATGTATTATCTTAGAGCCCATTAAGGGGTGCGTCTACGGGTATGCCATGTCCAAGACTTTATAATTAGTCACCACCGCACTCGTTAGGGTTTGTTTTTGTTTAGTTCTTGTTTTCCTCTTAAAGCAGATATTATTCATAGCACTTGTAACGTCGAGTTCGACTGCTATCAATCAGGGCCCCTATTCTCGTTCGCATGTGTTGACTAGTCGTTTCCAATGAAGACTTCCTAATACCAAATTTATATACTTCATCTATATTTGCAATATCAAATTGAATCTACCATAGCACGTCTCCATCAAAGGGTGAGTGTGGTGAAATCAAAGTAAAAAAAATCTATGAGAAACTATGACTCTGAATAGTAGCCAAATTAATGAGAAGAGTGTAGAAGTTAAATAGTAAAATTGAAGTAGCAGTGTTCTGCTTCTTCCTTCTATTAAAGGAATGGATGAAGAGCTAAAAGGAACACCTCTATATACACGTTCATGTTTTGAAATCATCCAGAAATAGAACTCAATTCCATCTCCCAACACCTGTTTTTGTGCTTGTGTACCGATCAGCAGGAAGAACTCGATTTCTAACAAAGACAAAGTGGTAAATTGTCACACATAATTCTTGATTATGCTTCAATATATGTATATACATCGGGGATGGGCCGAACTGAGGTTTGGTGCAGACTATAGGACCCGGTATCCTAGTGTATGTTCAGATAATCAAAGATTTAATACTATTGTGTCTCTGGATTTGTTCAAAACCATTGTATTTAAGAGACAAGTAGAGATCAGTTGCTGCTTTTTTACTTGCACCAAATAAGCTAGTTTCTGCAGGAACACTAATGATAATGTTTCAGAGGCACGGCTGCAGTGTCATGAGTCCCACCCCATCAGCATGTTGGTGACTGCATCCATAATCCTGCTCCGCAGTGCAGACGAGAGCTCATGCTCCTCACCAAAGTGTAATCTGTAGACTTCCCACTCCCTATCTTCCACAACGTGCCTCCCAATCTCAGCCTATAAACATCACAATGTTCCATCACTTGTGAAGAGATGTTTATCGGTTAAAAAAATCATCTATGATCAATTACTGTTAAATATGCACAAGGATAAACAACATATAGTACCATACCAAGAAGATTCGTTTCTGAAGATTCTTGAGAGCAAGGGTGATGTCATAAAACACCAGCGGTCTACCCTTTCCAGAAACCTTAACCGGGTTTGCTACCAGCAGCTCTGTGTCAGGACCTCGGTTCACCAATGCCACACGCAGTGGTCGGAGGACCTCCATCCTTAGGTGACAGCACAGTGCTCTCTGCCTGTGTTGATCAAGGATCTTCTTCCCATCTGATTGCACCGCGAATAAATCAATCTCGCACCTTCCATTTTGGCTCGCATAGAATCGGCCATACGAAATCTGACAGCAACCAGAATTCCACTTGCTTTCTTCACTTTGTTTTTTTTTTTTGAAAAAAAAGAGAGAATACAGTTGCCACGAATTAGATGTGCTTGAATCTTGTTATTACCTGAATGTTGCAGTCTTTGACTGTCCTCATGATATCATATAGGAGGCCCTTATGGTCACCACACTGAATCTGAATAAGAGTGTGGACAGAGCTAAGCGAGTTGTCCATTGTCACGGAGATGGTACTACCCCTTGTGCTGATCGATTAATCCTCTATGAGATCTGTGCTAAACATCTCTTCCATAATAGCAGGCGTCAGCGAAGCCCAGGATTGGAGGCAAGACAACATGTCTTCACCAGCAGGATCTATTTCACAACATGTCAAGGAGTCGCCTAAGACACTCTCGAGTTTGTCCTGAGTTTCTTCTGTTCTGCTATGTAACAGAATCGACCAAATCATAAGAACGTAAGTACAAAAACAAACACCGAAGCGATCAAATTCCTGTACTTAAGCTTCCATAATCCCGGTAGTCCGGAAATCACGAAGGATTTCAACCAACTCTCGACATACAAATCAAGACCGTAGTGATTCAACACAACACATCATCCGTTATAACATTTCATAAGTAGCATTCGGATTACATCCATCAGAGTGTGAATAAAATATTACAAACCAGATTCAAACGTGCGGAAGCAACATAGTTTAGTACATAACTTTATAGTTTCAAATACATTGCCAAGTCTGAGTCATGTCCCACAAAAGCATTATCAGGTACGAGAACTAGTAGAGACCGCGCCCAACGGTCTAGTCTTCATCTCCAGCTGGGAGAAGGCAGTACTTGCAGCAACCAAAGTAGAACTGGTCATCTACAACAGGTGGGAGATAAACCCTGAGTACGAGAAGGTACTCAGCTAGACTTACCCGACAAAACCAGAAATAAAAGACACCAAAGATCATACAAGGCTTATGAGGTGGGCTAGCTTGACACAGTTGCATAAAAGAGCTTATGAATATAGTGACCAATTTAAACTTAGCATCAAGCTTATCATCATTTACCTGTCCACTAGATTAGCACATGTACTAGAACACTCACTTATTAGGAGCAAACAATATTAACCATAGCAGGTATAATAAGGCTGTCATCATCATATCATCATTTCCGAACCATTATGTTATTAAGTGTATCTACATTGGAGATAAGCCCGTCAAGTTCTCACTAACCGGGAGAGACGGCGACTCGAATCGAATTACAACTCAGCTGAGGGGGTATTCCTAACTCTCACCCTAGCATACTTAGCAAGGGTAGCCGTGGGTCACCTTTGGAACAACTCAGGAACCAAATTCGCGGGTTCGATCAACACCAAGACTCTCTCGTGGATTACCCTTCCGCCAGATGATCGGGACTTTTAAATCACCGCACTTGGACTCACGCCTCGGCTCCCTTCCGAGGCGCACTTTATACTTATCGACTCCCGGCCCGAGGTGAGCTACTCGGCTTCGTGGTCGGTCTCCGACCCACCAACTAAGAGAGAGGCATGCGCTCAACATGAACAGGAAAGGCTCCAAGATTTAGTCCTTAATCGACACAGACGGAGTCACTGCAAACCGGCAAGCCTCCATCCGGTCTTCATTTCAAATTAAGACTGGTTCTTTTCCACGATAGCAAATATAGCCAACCGTGCCATATTGATCTTCCTATATCTCGCAGGTGATAGAAAATCACCCGACTTCTACCGTGTTTGAGCAGGGCTAAACACTACACGAGCCTAAGCTACATATAATTCAGGGTATCAATACCTAGATAAGGATTGGATAACCAATGCAGCAAGTGTTTGCATCCAACACCTAAACTTAATGCAACAATATATATGTAACAATAATACTGTAACTGCATTTCGAAAATTAAGATGCTTAATATGCTCCGGGGCTTGCCTTTCACAAAGTTGCACGGACGGTGATCCGGGCACTCAAAGGCGACCTCATCTGGCACTTCTTCTGAAGGCTGCACCTCCTGAACTTCCGGTGTCAGCTGCTGCTGCTCGCTCGGTTCCTCAAATTCCAGCAGGGTCACTCCTTCCGGTACACCTATTGCATGCCGATGCACAAGATAAATATCATGGATGCATAAGGAATGACATGATGCTCATAATGAATGGATCACAGTAAGTGTTTAACGAAAATATTACTGGACACTCGTTTACCGATTAAGAATAGCTCTATTCAAATCATTTTAAAACAGGTATCTAACTTAACTTGAAGAACAAGATCAACTTACCTAACTTGCATAACCTAAGATAAAGATGCTCATCTTTAGTTAAAGGCCTAACACCTAGTAACATTACCACAACTTAAAAATAGTAAATGCATACATAAATCAACATTTAAAGTTTCATATGCACACAAGTAGTCCCTTAATTCAATCACAACCAGAGTTCTACAAATCCAAATGACTTGCATGAGGATATTCTGGAAAGCTTATGAAATTCTCTACAATTCATTTGTAAACATCAAAGCATGATTCTTACGTTAACCAAATCGAATTCCAGTAAACCTAGAATCTGTCCAGAAATGACAGGGTTACTAAATTAATTATTTAATGATGATGCAAAAACATAATTGGATCAAACCAAGTTTACCAACATGTTTTGCATACCAAAGAAACATCAGAAAGTCTAGTGCTAACTTCTAAACAATTTATTTAATGCCCTTTTCTAATTTCTTTAGTTAATTAGGTGATTAAAGCAATATATAGTAAAACTGTTCAGAAAAATCTATAAAAATTACAGTAGCTATCTCATGCTTCACATAGACTACCATAAAAATTTCAAAGCCATTGGGTAAGCATAACTTGTTGTATCCAAAATAACAGGTGGCATATCTATTTCTAGCATAATTATGAAACCCTAATGAAAAGTGTCAAGCAACAGATTTCACTTTTTTCCTAGTATCATTCAAGCATAACAATAGCACTCACCAAATTTTACCTTTACTGGATCTATAGAAAAATTATGAAAATTCACACAAGATCCATCCATTGATAAAAGGAAATTATATAACTCAAAAACTACACATGCACTAGCTCTGAAATTTTAACCAGAGCTTATACTAAGCAAAAATAGATTACCCACAAAATTTCATAATTTTTGGACCATAGAAACTCAAGATAAAATTCAAAAAAGTTTGCATGCATCTAAAAACACATCTCAAAGTCCTATTTAATTCATCCAAAATTTCTAAAACATGTGCCCATATAATATTTTTATTAAATACTAGACTTTATCATGAACTCAACAAAATTGGAACCACATCATTTGGATCTACCAACTAGGAGATACACATTTTTGAAATTGTACAAAAATATGTGAAAAGAATAAACAAAACAATTTGAAAACCTAACCCTACTGCTGGGCTGGCCCGAACAGATCCGGTGGCCCACAAACACGCGCTGGCGTGGCCCAAAACGCGACGCAGCCCAGGCTGGCTCCCGCCTGAGCCTCAGCGGCTGGCACGCGGGACCCACGTGACAGAGAGACAAGAAGGGGAGGAGAAGGATACGGCGGCGAAGCTCATCGCCGGTGACTCCTCCGGCAAAGTCAGCGGTGCTACGGCGGTCAACTCACTCATGCGCATCTATTGGTGCCCTCAATTGAAGCTATTGGCGCGGCTACCGGGGTTGGCGATGAGGGTCTGGCGAGATGACGGCGTTACGTCTCGAACGTGAGACCCTACGAGCTTCAACAGTGCTCCTATGACCTAGCGCGAGACAGAGGAGGGATGGCAAGGGTGCGAGGACAGCTGGCCGTGTGGAGCGCCATCTCCGGCAAGAACAGCCACGCGGCGGCGGTGGAAGAAAACGACGTGTACGTCCTTACCAAGACTCGATTGGACCAACGGTGAGGTGGAGAAGGTAGAGAAGACCACGGCGAGGCTATGAACGAGCTGGCCGACGCGTTTTTGCGGTGGTGAGCACGCACGACGACGGCGACGCGCGGTCGGCAATGGCGGAGCTGCTGCTCTGTTGTTGCGGAGCTACAGGCGAGCGGAGGAAAAGCAAATGGAAGTGACGACCCGGTCGGGCAGGCGCGCGGGGTTCTCATGTCGCGGCCAGCAGCGCCAGGATGCGCACGGCATGTGGCCTGCGCGAGCAGAAGGCCGGCGACGGGTGGCAACACGCGGCGCTTGCTTTCTGAACCGGTCAGCCACGACGTTCACTGAACGTTTTCTGAAAAATCGCGATTCAGTGTTAATGACAAGCCTACACGGTTAATCCATCGATCTATTGCAAAAACAGTATACATGAAAAATGTAGGCCTACCATCCATCTACAACTTCTTTTCAAAGACCAACACCTAAATCGTCATGGATCCGAAGTTACATGAAGCCAAAGTTGGCTTGATCCAGCTGAAAATGCAGTTATGACTTAGAAATATTTTTCAGTAAGACTCAGCAGGGAAAAATCGACTTGTGGGCCTTGTTTGAACATGTTCTAGCCATTTTCATGAGATGGTCATATTGAGACTTTTGTTCCTTAATAAATTAGCTACAACTTTGGTAAAGAGTGCACAGCCATGCAAAGTTTCCAAGTTGGTCTTTTGAATCAGTCAAACAGGGACACTCCTAGGGTCAATTCAAGTCAAACCTCCACTTGAGGGCATTTTGGTCAATTTGATCTACATGAACAATGTCCCAACAAGTAACCTAAGTGTAGTTAAGGTGTAATAGACCATAATCAACCACTTTACACAATTGTTATACCAATTTCTAATAATCACATGTGATAAAGCAACTAAAACAAGCAATTCACTCATATGTTTCAATTCCATGTTTCACATGTTTCATGACTTTATTGTCATTTTATAATTGTCACATTACTACCATATTGCCATGTTTCAAGTATGAGAATTTCATGTTACATTCACATGTTGCACTACTACCATTCTAAGCAATCAAGCATGAAACACATACAATTGAAAATGTTGCATATGCATGTTTCAATAACAATGACATGATGAGATAGATGATGCACATGTTTATGAAATAAAATGCAATTAGTGGAAGCCAAACACCTAGGGTGTTACATGCTCTTTGTGTGCAGAAGCTCCCTGAAATCATTCCAGATTGTTCACTTATAACCATCTAAAGGAAGACATGGAGCTAAACCCTATTCTTAATGGTGGAATTTGGTACACAATGCACGGTTCCGCATTATGATGTAAAAGAAAAAGAAAAGAATGGATAATTGTTGATATCTGAGCCAAGATGCTCGATGAATAATACAAAAATATAGATTTTTATCATGTCATCACAGAATAATAGTTTCTGGAATTTAGAGACAGAAAAAAGAGATTCTCATAAGGCACTGAAAAGGATGTGTTTGGAGATAAACTGACCTGGCATCTGTGATGAAGAAAAGATCTAGCACACTACCATCAGGCGTGGTAGAGACCTTCACCCTCCAAATCGTGAGCTCTAGCTCGCTCAAAACTCGTGTCACATCTGTGGAACACAGAATTCCCAGGAAGAAGATCCAAAATTTGACCTTTTAGAGCTACATGTATCTCCAAAGAGATTTTTTTTGTTCAGTAGTAGCAGTCCTTCGCTTACATTAAAAATCAAATTCACTGGATGGATATGAAGTTACCATACCTAACTACTAGCAATATTATTGCAGCATTATTATAGCCTTATTATTGAGAATGGAAGAAAAAGAACCCCTACAATCTCCTAGAGACACACGAGCAGTGCAACACAATCAGAGTGACTCCAATGGCAAAGAAATGTACGATAAAGGTGGGTAGGGGAACACTAATTTAGGCTAATACTTTTCATAGAACAGATCAATCAGGTAGGCTAGCGAACTAGGAAGGCTATCATTACTGAATCTAGCTAGCACTTTGCAAGTTTGCATAGAACAGAGTAATAGCAGGAGATGGTGTGGAGGTGTTACCATGCAAGAGCCCCATCCGGTCGAAGCAGTATAGCTTCAGCAAGAAGAGCTGTGGTGAGGGAGGCGCAGCGTCCTGTAGGCCAGCCGCCGCGAGGTACGCGTTGTCGAATCCGAACGGCGGCGTGACGGGGGAGAGCTGAAGCAACCTGTCCTTGAGGAGGTCCCATGGCACGGCCACGGGCCGGCCCCCGCGTGGCAGCACCCAGAGCATGATGTAGCACCACCGCCCGTCCGTGCTCATGTCTCCCTTGACGATGCTGAGGCCGAAGAGGAGGACGACCCGGCAGAGGTCGCTGCCGAGGCCCGTCTTGTCGGGGCAGCTGACGGTGAAGACGGTCGACGGTGGGCTCGCCAGCGGCGTCAGCGTGGCGGATTTGCACCACGTCGTCGCTGGGTATCCCCATCAGTGTTGGGGGTGTCAGCAGCAAGCGGTGGGAAATTCGCGGAATCCCTGGCCGTGCCGTCGATGTGCTTTGCGAGGGACGCAAGCAGCTGTTCCAGAGGAGGGATCCTCCTCCTGCTAGGCTGCCGCTGGATTTTTTTTCGAAACAAATCAGCCTATACGGCCGCCCAGCATTGGTTGGTCGGTGAAATTTGTTTCCACTTCCCCCACAGTTTGCGTCAAAAAAAATTGTTTCCGATTTGCTCTGTTCCTTTTTCCACGTCTTTAACCTAATTACCTAACCCTAACCTAATTGCCAAAAGAGAAGAGTGATCAACCAGAGTAGGTAATTTTGTAACCTGACAGCTAAATCGAGACCCTCCCGATTCAGCCTCTGTTTGAAATAAATGTAAAACAGAAAAATGTCAGAAAACAGGAACTAGAGGAAGTGAAAAGTGGAAAACTATATATGTGATTGCAAACCACATAAATAGAAAATTTGGACTGTTTGGTTTTCATGAAAGAAATTTGAATTTTCACATTTTCCAAATTTCAATGAACAAAGCATACACTCCTTCAGACCATGGACAATTGCACCTCCTATCCTGAATACAGAAACAAGCAGCACCACACAACATAAGCACGTGCTCATTTTGTAGACCTTTGGAGAGTTGCACATCTCTCATCCTAGTGCTATCAACAATCTTTAAGTGTTAGGAGGTGCTTTTCTTTCTATGGATCTAAATTATCGCCAGCGATCAGAAAACATAGATGAATTTGTTTTCCTCGTCCACCCAACACTGGAAAAAGGTAGCCCGTCCCTATCATCTAAAAAGAAGCGATGCACAATTCCATTTGTTCCCTTATCTAAAAAAATACACAAATCTATTTGGAATGGACGAGCCACATTTAGGCCCCGTTCGCTTCGCTGAAAAAACAAACCGAAACACTATTCCGGCTGATTTATTGTGAGAGAAAAACACTGTTCTGTCTGAAAAAACAAGCTGAAAATACGGATTATTCATGAAACTTTAACAGGGCATGAGGCCGTATGCAAAAGATAGTTCCATGTCGAAACAAAAAAGGAAGCAATATACAATTATATCCAAAATGAAGCCGCATTTATTCATGAAACTCTAACCAGGCATGAGGCCATATTCAAAAGACAGTTTCATTTCGAAAGAGATTTTTCCATGCTGTCCTTCAAAGATTGCGTTGATTTAAGGTATCTATTTGTGGAAGAGTAATTAGGCATATTCCTTTATGCAATATCACAAAATGCAAACAATCGAATATTGCAAGATCAATTTCAGCATAGTGAAGAAACAATTAGCCCAAAACAGTGCTCAGCGCACTTAACACAACTCACATGCAACTATATACGGCTACCTTCTCTACACCAGCATCGTATCTTAAAACAACCTAAATTTGCTCCATTACTTCTATGAAATATATTTTTTATCAAGTCATAATTAATTTTATTTGTGGTTTTGATATTAAGCATAGAACAACCCCATGCAGAACTGTATTGATGCTATTGATGGCACTCACATTCCTATCACAAAACATGATTGTTGCATGTGATTTTAATATAAAGTTTGTGCATGAACATTGTTGACAACCAAAAGTGGTTAAAGTTTATAATGGACTCCACCATAATATTTCTATCGTCAAGATGGTTAGAAAACATATTTGGATCTTATTTGCAGCCCGGACGAATAAACAGCGATTTGGGAATGCTGACCCAGCCGGAACCGGCCAGGCCGGTTCCTAAACCGGCCAGGCGGGTTTGGACAAGTTCTTAAAATGCAAGATTGGAATCCACCATTGTGTTCCTCTCGTCGAGCTAATCGAAAAACATATATGGTTTATCCCGTTCGAAGTCCAGACAAATTAATTATGATTTTTGGAAGCCGTCCTGCCCTGGATGCACAATAGAACCAGCCAGGCCGGTTATAGAACCGGCTAGGCCGGTTTGACTGCAGTAGAACCAGCCAGGCCGGTTCTAGAACCGGCTAGGCTGGTTTGCCTGGCTGAAGGCTGCGTAGCCCTGCAAAAACCAGCTAGGCGGTTTGCCTGTGTAAGTCCGAACCAAACACATTCCAAATTGATTTTTGGACGTGTTTTTCATAGAAAACTTGGAGATCACGATATGGAGATGTTTTCTAATGGGATAAGACCACCCCATTTATATATATGAGAGGATCACGGCCAATTAAAGGATCCAACACTCAATCGTCAAAAAATACATCTACTACCTAGTTGTACCCTTTTCCAACCATCCTGCTCTTCGCGAGATTCATTAGCGTTCTAGGCGGCCTTGCTAGTCCTAAAACAACCTTAAACGTGCTCCACCAAGACGGGTCCTCCCGGGAGGCGTTCCTAGGCTTTTACGACATTGGACGAGCTCTAGATCGGCCTAACTGTTCTCTAGATCAGCTTAGTCGTTCTTGGAGTTGTTTGCTGCGTGTTTTAGGTTGTGTGCAACATAGGGGGAGCTAGCTCTTGCTGGTGAGTGTGTGTGTGTGTGTGTCTTAGATCACAATCTAACGTCAACACACTTTTTGGCAACTTCGCTGGGGAAGAGATCAAATCAAGACAAGAACCGAGGTGACCTCACGAATACGTCCTACGAGGATGATATCCTTCGTCCCACTTCCATTTATCAACTCCCATAGGCTCTTCGATGCCTCCAATGTAGCGGCTGCATTGGTAAGCTGTTCATACAAGGATCGTTCAAGTAATGTGGCTGAACAATGCAGGCCTATCAATTTCCATACTCACACCATCAAGCTTTCATCTACATCTGCGCCTAAGATCCCATCTGTAAGTGATCCTTCATCCGGTTTTACTCCATAACAACTTATGTGGATCGAAGAAAATTTAAAGGCACGGGAGGCTAGTATCATTAATCGGATAGATGTTATTTAGCAAAGTGCTAGTTTTAAGAAACCAAATTATGTTGAACCTACCATACCTAGTTGCTCTATGCTAGCTAACGAGATCCTAACATACAGGTATGTTAAGCCTCGGGTCTAATGGTTCTCGAACGAAGAAGACCCCTAAGCCGACCCCTTTAGGATTGCCCGGTGACTCAGGGGCTCTGCCCATCGGGCACGCTCGCGCGCATCCTCTAGCAAAGAGACTCGGCCGAGCCTGACTCGATCGCAGCTTCTGCCTAAGGCTTGGGGGCTTCCCCGCGCCTTGGGCTCCTGATCTATGCCACCTCTGGATCCGGTCCTTGCCTCCTGCTCGGCTAACGATGCCAGCCATGGCCCAAGCACAAGAAGACAAGCCCCAGGCTACCGATGCCCGGGGCTCCCTAGCGTCGCTCCCTAGGCGTGCCCCTGCCAACCACTCCTCTAATAGGGTCATGTCCAGGGCATGACACAAGAAGACAAAGCTTCCCGCGGGCTCCGGGGGCTCGGGGGCTTCCGGGCCACATGTCAGAAGGTCTCACCCGAGGGAGGCCAGTCAAAGCCGACACCCTTTGGCATGCAGAGTGTCAGAACAAAGCAGCCGAATGACGCCCAAGCTTCTTCTGCTCCAAGAAACCTCAACAGTCTATGGCACACCACTGCAAGCCACTCTTGGACTCCGGCGCACGTAGACCATAGACTAGAACCCTCAATCCGTCTTGTACCCGACCTATCTCGTTATATAAGGGATAAGGTCGGACCTAGAGGCGAGAGGATCTTGATTCGATCACCGAGACTCCACTCCACTCCACTCCATCTGCTTCTGCTCTGCACCGAGAGCAAGGCAACCCAGAGAGGGGCACCGAGAGCCCCTCCTCCACCGCATCCCATCATCTCCTTCCTCTCCGACGAGGGGGAGACTCCACCGGCGGCGAGGCAACCTTAGGATTAGCACCGAGCTAACCCCCTACCAAACTTTCTTCCTTTACACTCTGTTGTAACCCCCCAGATTTTGGGTACTCTTGAGTATAAGGATCATCAGTTGCTGGACGTAGGGACTGAATTGGCCTGAACCAGGATAAACCGTTGCGTCTTCTCTGCATGATTCTTGTGTTCCAGAGTCCACCCAAGCCACCAGAGACCCTGTACTCTGACATCGACTCAAACAACATGCTTGCCACGGTTTTGACCCCCGTGACACTAGCGTCATCGGTTCTTAAGACCATATATTTTCCTTATGGCATACCAGTGAGCGCTTCAAAGAGTCAAGTACGTCCTTCAGCAAGTGTTGTGGGAACTAGAGAGCATCATGAGAAACATCGTCTCACTAGACATGTCATAGAAAACTATTCGGATAGTTCGAACGATGATTCTAAAAGATGCTATCTTGCTGAATTTGCTTGGCCTCCTACTTCAAAAAATGTCACGGTTCCATCTCTTAAGTTGATTCAAAAGAATCAGAAAGACAATGTGAAGTTTACTTTTGATCCGGCTAAGTGTGATAGAATTTTTGATGAATTGCTTATAAATGGATATATTAAATTATCTCATGCTTTACCATCACCTGAAGAATTAGAGAGAAGAGCTTGGTGTAAAGGGCATAATTTCGGTTCTCATGCCACAAATGATTGTAATGATTTTCATCGTCAGGTCCAATCAGCTTGATTTAGCCACCATATATATCCACCATACATCCACACACATGCACATCTTGATTTGATTGTATGACTTAACTCTCTTTAGATCCGAGGTTTGACTTTATAATATATGTATTGCAAGTATGCTCTTTCATACTTTTTCCACTCCTATGAGCTCCACATAAGCCTTAGTTGTAGGAAGAGAAAGGCATAACATCACTTTTGTCTTGGTGAGGATCGACAAATACCTCATATATTAAGAGACTTGAGAGTGTCAAACAATGAAAGCTCTGAGTTTTTGAAA